TTCCATAAAATCCTGGATTCAAAGTAAGAATGAAATTATTTTCAAGTTTCAAAATGCATTAAACTGTTTGAGAAAAAGCAGGTTACAAAACAAACAATACAATCCCATTTTGTAAAAAAAATGTGTACAATTATACCAAAATCTGAAGGGTATTTAGTAAGTAAAACATTAAGGTGTCGCCGAAACCGGTTTGGCTCAGTGGATAGAGTGTTGGCCTGCGGACTGAAAGGTCCCAGGTTCGATTCCGGTCAAGGGCATGTACCTGGGTTGCAGGCACATCCCCAGTAGGAGATGTGCAGGAGGCAGCTGGTCGATGTTTCTCTCTCATCGATGTTTCTAACTCTCTATCTCTCTCCCTTCCTCTCTGTAAAAAATCAATAAAATATATTTAAAAAAAACAAACATTAAGGTGTCTTTGGGTGGTGATATTATAGAGGAATTTTTATTCCCTTTTTGTTGGGATAAATTTTCTGATTTTTCTACCAGGAACACATCTATAATAATAAAAGCGTGAAATGCTAATTAGACCAGACATCCTTCCGGATAACCTTCCAGATGAAGCCGGGGCTCCTAGGGAAGCACGGGTTCCAGGTGCAGGAGGGAAGCATGTGCTGGCAGCCGAGGAAAGGAAGGCCTACTCTTGCACAAATTTCGTGCATCAAGGCTCTAGTTATTTATAAAGTCATTTAAAAACAGCAAAAGAGCTCTAGCTGGTTTGGCTCAGTAGATAGAGCATCAGCCTCTGGACTGAAGGGTTCTGAGTTCAATTCCAGTCAAGGGCACATGCTCGGGTTGCTGGCTCGATCCCCAGTGGGGGGCATGCAGGAGGCAGCCGATCAATGTTTCTCTCTCATCATTGATGTTTCTATCTCCCTCTCCCTTCTTTTATGACAGCAGTTCTCAACCTGTGGGTCGCGACCCTTTTGGGGGTCAAATGACCCTTTCATAGGGGTCGCCTAAGACCATCGGAAAACATATATAATTACATATTGTTTTTGTGATTAATCACTATACTTTAATTATGTTCAATTTGTAACAATGAAAATACATCCTGCATATCAGATATTTACATTACGATTCATAACAGTAGCAAAATTACGGTTATGAAGTAGCAACGAAAATAATTTTATGGTTGGGGGTCACCACAACATGAGGAACTGTATTAAAGGGTCGCGGCATTAGGAAGGTTGAGAACCACTGCTTTATGAGATCAATAAAAATATATTAAAAAACAAACAAACAGCAAAACAGCCCTGGTTGGTGTAGCTCAGTTGGTGGGCATCATCCTGGACACCAAAAGGTTGCCAGTTGGATTCCCCATCAGGGCACATGCCTGGGTTGTGAGCTTGGTCCCTGCTAGGGGGCGTGCAGGAGGCACTGATATTGATGTTTCCCTCTCACATTTTCACATTGATATTTCTCCCTCTCCCCTCCCCTCTCTCTAAAAATCAATTTAAAAATCTTTTAAAAACAAAACATAAAAACAGCTAAACACTGTCTCTTTTTACTTCCAGAAAAAAACCAAATATATTTAAATCTAATTTTTAAAAAAATTATCTCAATCTTACAATGGGGGAAAGAGAAGCAAAGTAACCCAAAATTGCTATTAACAACAATTACTACTTAGGAGGGGAGTTAAACTGCTTTTAAAGGAGGGAGGGGAGATAATAAGTAAGGTGGGTGATCAAGAACAAAATTAGAAAAGAATCTGACTGACCTAATTTTATCATCAAAATTTTCAAAGTTCCTGATATAAAAGGAACCCAAAAAAACCACCTTAAACTATATTCACAACAAATTCAACAATGGAACTGGCCCAAACAGGAAGCTCTCAAGCAATCTCAATTCCAGAGCAAAGGTTTGAACAACTGATTATTCAAGAATATTACTTGCTCCAGTGTGTCCCAGGTAGGGAGCAAAGCACTAGTAATGCACATTCCAGGAATCAAATTTGCAGGCTGATGTGGTATAAGCACCAAACTGGTATTGGAGCTCAATGTTGTGCTTATCACACTTTACAAATTTGCCTAACCTTTATTTTCCACCTCTCTCAGTCTATACATCTGCAAGAAATTAGGACAATCTCTCAGAAGTACCATGAAGAAGGTTAAAATTGCATTTTGAATACAAAATGGTCTACACACACACACAGTCTACCTACCTATGAGACTAACTTAAAACCGAAATTTTTGAAATTAAACTCCAATATCTAGACAAGATGGTTACTCTGCACCACAAACACGGACAATGACAGACCCCCCCCCCAAAAAAAATTCATTACATACAATGTATCAAACTAGCATTTTCAATCTTGACAATCCAGTGTTACCCTCCACCCTCTTAAGGCGATCTTGCTTAAAACAGTAGGTAAATTTTATACAAATCTTTAGAGCTTTCCTAGAACACTTAACATTATCATTTTTCTCTTAAAGGATTATGCATTAAAATCACTTTAAAGCTGCCTCAATATAGAAAAGAATCATTGTCAGAAACCCTAACTTTGCTCTTGGAATGTCAGGTTGGTTTTGGTTAATTGGCACCAGAAAGCGGAAGCAGTGCTATTACACAGAAGTTAAAACCAACAAAGGAAACAAAAAAGGAATTCTGATAACACCTACAGTATTTCTATCCCCGTTCATTTTAGGGAAAGTGCCAACTTACAGGTACAAAAAAACAACTATCAGGTGCTTCGTAGCCACCAAGAAAATATAGGAGGGAATGGACACAGGTGGGACAACACATAAGAGACAAGAAAACTCTATTCTCTAAGAATAGTTCACTCTCAATACCATTCTGAAGAACAAACCAACTTATTCAAACTACAACAAGCGTTTATGTAATTACTGAAGACAAGTTTCCTTAGACTCACTCTAGTCCAGCTGTGGGCAAACTACAGCCCGCGGGCCGGATCCGGCCCGTTTGAAATGAATAAAACTAAAAAAAAAAAAAGACCGTACCCTTTTATGTAATGATGTTTACTTTGAATTTATATTAGTTCACACAAACACTCCATCCATGCTTTTGTTCCGGCCCTCCGGTCCAGTTTAAGAACCCATTGTGGCCCTGGAGTCAAAAAGTTTGCCCACCCCTGCTCTAGTCTAAGATTTCTGCATCCTCCAGCACTCCTTTAACGCCAGTCAAATACAAAAGTAGTTTTCCATTCTGTCTTCCCCCAAACGCTGCATGTTAACTTGGAACTGTTTCCCTCCTTACTGAAAATCAGTCTGTTCTCCCCTACAATTTACCTAAAACACAGTAACTGTCACCCATCTTTCAAATGAACACACTATGCCAGCAAATTGCAACTGGTGTGGGACAAGAATTTTTAAAACATAACAGCCAACACAATAGCTATCCGGTATGAATTAATCAAAACTATCCCTATTTTTGTTTTTGTCAGATTGGCCAAAAAAAATGTATTTTTTAGTGTACTGCAGATTTTCAGTAATTAGTTTATATGTGCCATGAGATGAAAAAGGCTGAAAAATCGCTGCTGTATACCGATCACACTGATACTAAGAGGGCAACAATCCTTCCTTTTCCATGCCTTTTTGGCTTTTTATAGACTAATTTTTATGCACTTTTACTCCTATACATACCATTATAGACAGGATAGAATAAAGCAGACAGCTAGGAAACCCTGGGTCGGCCAAAATACTTCAGTAACTCAAATACATTTGTACATGCTGTACTCGAGGAAACAGTAACAATGTAACTGATGGAGGCTTCCACACAGCACATACAGCCGAATATGTGTCCATTATATTAATAAATTGTGATACAATGTGTTCTGTCATTTCCCCCAACTACCAAAAAAAGTCCATCGTTCCCTTCACCGGTTCTCAACCTGTGGGTCGCGACCCCTTTGGGGGGGTCGAACGACCCTTTCACAGGGGTCGCCTAAGACCATCGGAAAACACATATATAATTACATATTGTTTTTGTGATTAATCACTATGCTTTAATTATGTTCAATTTGTAACAATGAAATTGGGGGTCACCACAAATGAGGAACTGCATTAAAGGGTCGCGGCATTAGGAAGGTTGAGAACCACTGCTCTAAATGGAAGTGGGAAGGGAGGCCTCGAGAAGGGCATTTTAAAACCACGTCTGCAGTCACGAAGTTAAAATTCCGAATCTCAGATATTAAAATGAAAGCTTCTTCCCTCGGGGGCAAAGCACAATGGTTGGCAAGGGGCAACTTCCTAGGCTGCACAAGAACCTTCGAAGGGTGGGGGGTGGGGATGACCGGCCAGCAAAGAATTCCAAGCTAAAAGGAAAGAGTGACACCATGGGCCTACTGTGCTTCCCTCCACCCCAGGAGGACAGCAGGCAGACGGGGGCGGGTTATTTTCTCCCAAGAGCAACTAACATCCCAAGGAACAAGCACGGATGAAGCACAACTCGGAGCCTCCCACCAGGCTCCCCGCCGACGCCTCCGCCGGAGAACGCCTGGCTCCCAGCCCGCAGCGGGTGGGGTCGGGCTTCCTTGCCGGAGGGGAATTCGACGCCATTGAGGAACCAGAGGGGAGAATGGCCCACCTTCCCGCCTCTCGCCTGGGTTAGCAGGGTCCAACTCCAAAACCAGGGTTCTGAGCCCCGCGGCACCGCCGCCCCCTCCCCCACCAGGACAGAACCTGTGAGTCCCGGGGCGAGGCGGGGGGCGGGGGGACGCTCCCGCCCAGCCCGCGCCAGA